ATAATATAAGGAGATGCACATGCCTAACGTTTTCATAAAATAATAATTTCGTAATTGTACCTCTTGTTTCTAAAAGCCTTATCTTGAGATTTGGGGTCATCAACTCCATATCCTACTGCATTCAATATAAAATATTATAATGCTTTCCACCCTGAGTATAATTGCAAATCTAGAATCAATCTAGCTTATGTACTCTTTTTTTTCAGTTTTACTTTTCACATGTCTCAAATAAGAAACTATCTTGTCATGTATTTGTTACAGATGAGGCCAAGGGGAGAACCAGCGTAGAAGTAATGGGGGCCAGATTTTTTTGTTTTTTTGTTTTTTAAATCAGTGTATATATATGTGCAGCTTGTTGAGGAGAAAATCATAAGCCAGTAATTTATATGCAACTTAAATAAATTTTTATCTATTTGATACAATTTTTGAGGAGCAAATAAATAAGTATATAACAAAAAATAAATAGTACAATTTTAACAAGAGACACTAGAATTATTAATGTGGAAAATCCCTCTATATAAAGGTAAAAATCACATGTTGTCCAGGCTAATTAAAAACAATTCCAATATGATCAAAAATAAAATACAAGAGAGTCGTAGTTAGATGCACAAACAAATACAAATAACCAGCCAAAAAACCATACTAACAAAGTTATAAAAGAGGATGAAGAAGATGAAAAAACACCACACTATAAGCTATAGTGTGAACAAGATATCTCTCACACCAGGGAATGAATCAACAATCCAATCGTTAAAAATGACAAATTGGATGTTGCAAGTAAGCTTACCAAATTTCATATCAATCCAATAGTTAGCGAATATGAAAATGCCAATTTACTAAGACTGTTATGTGAATATGTAAAAATGACTCTCTCTTCTTCTCTCTCAAGTGGTCGCCCATGAAAACTAAACATGACCTATTTTTCATTGTCTAATATGACTTCTCTCTAATTTACTTAACGAAGCTCACAATAAGTTTTAATATTGGGCTTTTCTCTACATATTAAGGGACTCGAAACCCAATATACCTCCCCCTCATGACTATATGGGGATAAACGCCAATTCAACAATCTCAAACAAGTTTAATACTTCCATCTTGTTGTTGTCCTCGTCATTATATTAGCAACATTTTCATCATTATAAATTCTCACCAAATCCAACAGCTTGGCATTCAAAACATCACGTATCCAATGATACCTTATATTAATGTGTTTGGACCTATAATGGAAGGTTGGATTTTTAACAAGATGAATAGTGCTTTAGTTGTCACAAAATAATGAGTATTTTTCTTGAGTAAAACTTGCATGCACAGTAATGGCAATATACTTAGCCTTTGTCATAAACAGAGCTATCCACTTCTACAATTTAGATTGCCAAGCTATAACTCCCCCTGCAAATTTAATCACACAACCCAAAGCAAACTATCTGAAGTTAACATCACCAATAATATTTAAGTTTGCATACCCCTTAAGGATAGACTTATCACCTCCCAAACAAAGCCTCATACTAGTAGTACTATGAAAATATCTCAAAATCAATTTTGTGGATTTACAATGCTCTCTACCTAGGTTAGACAAAAATCTACTAATTATACCAACAACATCTGCTATATTTAGTCTAGTGCATACCATTGTATACATCAAACATGTCTAATTTTTTTACTTCATTTAAAGGACTTTGCTCAACACTCAATTTACAATGAGTAGTAAGAGAAGTGCTTACCAACTCAGCATTAAATGTTCATTTTAAACCTTTGCAACACTTTTTCAATGCAATATTTTTGAGATAGTCAAAGCCTTTTCTCCTTTCTATCATGCAAAATTATTATACCAAGAATTTGCCTAACAGCTCCCATGTCTTTTATGAAAAATGACTCACCAAGTTGTTTCTTTAACCTGTCAATCTTAGAAATATCTTCCCCAACAATTAGCATGTCGTCAACATATAATAATAGGATAATAATGTCATTACTAAAAAAACATTTAACAAAGACATAATGATTGAAAATAGTCTTCTTGTAGCCTTGATCATGCATAACAGACTCAAACTTCTTATACCATTGCCTAGAGCTTGCTTTAATTCATACAGGCTCTTTTTTAATCTACACATAGTCTTCTTTGCATTTAACAAGAAAACCTTAGATTACTTTATGTAAGTATCTTCCTCTACATTACCATGAAAGAAAGTAGTTTTCACATTCATATGCTCTTCAAGTGTGAGTGAATTTAACTTAGTATGGATAAAAGCCAACATCAAATAGAGTTGGGTTAAAAAACTAGTATGTAAGTGGCAAAAACTTGTAAACTCAAAGCCTTAAAATTTTTGATTAAGATGTGGTGTCATACTCAATTATGCATGTCATCTTAGAACCATTGGGTGGCCTAGCTATATTCTCCGCTCTTATGAGATATTGTCTAGCTAGGCCTAACAAGTGGTGTCAAAACCTGATTATAGGAAGGGACCCATTATGAAGATGTGGGAAAAGCCTTAAAAGCCCACAAGTGTTATTAGGCTGAGCTATCTCAGCTATATTTTTCCTTCTTTTGAGATACTCCTTGGGCCCAACACTTTTTATTTTTTAATATTCAAAATAAGTGATTTTATGAGATAATGATAATAGTAATACTTTATAATTTTATAATATTTTTGAATGACAAAAATAATTAAAATGACATCATTTATTTATTATATTATTATTAAAATAAATATGAAAAATGCATAGACATTTTATATTTTAAATACAGTTTGGTATATTTATAAGATACATTCTAGAAGTAATTTTTAATCTAAAATATATGAAATCTTATAATAATTAAATTATTTTTTTAAATTTACCCCTTCTTAATTAGTGTTAAGGTATTTAATATAGTTACCTTATTATTTAAAGCTAAAGGTAAAAATAAAATTATCTCTCACTTTTTATGAGATAAAAAAAATAATTTTTTTATATGCATGAAATGGTTAAAACTGTCTTATAATAAGGATTAAAGGGAGTATATATATATAACATATAGATTACCAATATATATATATATAATATAACTTCAAAAAAATAATTGATTTGTGATTTCTAAATTTAGTAAAAAAAGAAGCATAACATTTAGAATACAAATGTGAAGTTTTGATCTTTTCTTTCTATCAAAATGAATTGTCAATATTGCTGATAAAAAATATGAATAGTTAATATTAATCATATTGGACTTATAAAACATTTAGAGCGCGCGCACAAATAGACACACACAGAAACTGGTATTAGCTTTTTAATTGATTGGATGTCCTAAATGATGAGTAAGGGCCCGGAAATGAAAGAAGGGAAGAAATGGACAAGATTTGTGAAAGGAAATCATATCTTAAATATACTTTAATTTAGCAATTCCCTATAACTAAGAATTCGAGATGCATGATAGATTTAATATTAAAATATGCACCCATCAAATCCAACCTCAAAGTTATCTCTATTTAATATTATGATTCCTTCGATCTGGCGAGATGTCATCCAGCTGTACGATTGGCAAAGCTCCGGACCATGCACAATAAAATAAGTCCCATGGTTGAACAGTCATGTGATGCCTGCTGCCTTATGTTTCTCAAAAATAGAGACAACATGAATATATTAGTTTGGTTTATTATTATTGTAACATGCCTCTTTTTCAAAATAAAAAGGCTATAGAATTTCTCCACCATACACAAGGAAAAACTAGGGGCAAGATGCCTACAATTCGAAATCTATTAAAAGATCATTATACTAAAAGCGCAGCTAGTCCATGTTCTTATAATATTTGTCTATGTAGTGAACTTGCCCTGCATTCCCAACCGCATAAATGTTTGCTTTTCAATGATGTACTCAATAGAAATAGACTAATCCTGCGTAGTCGGATCAGTATTTTTTTTGTCTATTGTGTTGGCAATTTGATGAGTTTTCTTCAATTTTTATATACGTGTCTGAGAGACAGAGAGAGAGATGCAGTTAGAGTACAAGAACTTAATATCTACTCTCTTTTCAGTACAAATCTAAGCCAACAAATATTAGTCTAATTAGTAATAATTTAATTCATAATTTATAACTTTATGTGTTCAAATTCTAATATAGAATGAATAATCATTAGTATTATTATAAATATTTTTTAAATTTAAAGACATGTTTTAATCCTGATAAATCTTAATATCCAACTCAACTAAATTTTTCTTAATGTGTAAAAAAGAAGTATACCCTTCATTAATTATAGTTATATTTATGGACAGATGAAATTCCAACCAATTCATCACATTATGTTTCTAAACTTTGTTGTGCCTCTATTATATTCCATTCAAAATTTCGCACCATTCAAGTTGTAGGGAGACAGAGACTATATTATAAGCAGTTGTTTAAATGGTATTAGAGGTTAGATAATGAAAACGAAGAATTGAAGAACTAGGGTGTGGTGTGCGACTGTAGGTGGTGCTTGAGGTGACTAGATCTTTTTTAGGAATGTGACATGTTTCTTCATTTAGCGCATTCGGTTTTAGCGGATCGGATTTAAACATAAAGCTTATATAAAGGACATCTTTTCTACCATTTTTTCTCCATAAAGTTTATAAACTATTGATCTTACCTTAGAAAAGATTGGACATATTATGTTTTGACCCAACCATTTTATTATTAGTAGATTTTACATATTTAAACAGATTGAGTTTATATGTTAAATTTGAATGATTTAAATTTAGTATATTATGCAAATATATTTAAATTAATCAGTTAATTAAAATGTCAAAACGGCGAATTCAGCAAGGGTCCATTTGGTAGCATGGAAGTGAGGCTTGAAAAGTGAAACTGACGAGGAAAGTGAAAATTTGGCTTGTTTGGTGTGGTGTAAGTGGATTCTCTATGAAATTTAGTTCCATAAAAAATGATGGAACCAGGTGCCTTGCCCACCTCGATGGGAATAAACCACTTCCAGATAGCAACAGTTTTTATGACTACTATACCCATTATAATTTAATTTATTGACAATTATGCTGTCCTCATTTTCCAACCCTATCCATTTTCTCTCTCGGTCACGGCTCTTCCTCCACCATCGTAGCCCCCTTCTCCTTCATCTATCGTCTCCTCTCCTCACTCAGCCTCCACCATTGCCATCGCCTCCTCCTCCTCCTCCTCCTCCTCCTCCTCCTCCTTCTCTCATCGACATCCCCTCCTTCGCTTGATCTCGACCTTCTCCACCGAAGATTAGGGCCCAGAATAATAGGGGTTATTTTTTAGATCGCGTGATGCAAGCAAATGTCGATGACGGCAGTGAACTTGCTTGGATTCTTGGTTCGCTACTTAATTTCTGGTTTCGAAGTCATCTTCTTCATTGCTTAGATTCTTGCTTTCGAGATTGAGTTCTTCGCTGCTTAGATTAATGAACTTTCTTGTTCTTATTTTCGTTTATTGGGATTCTGATAGTTGTTCCTCTAATCTAATTCGGGTTTGAGATGAATTTTTCGGAATAGCTATTCTTTCCTTGGAGAGAAGAAATTTTCACAGTTTGGATATCGATTTAAATATTGTCATTTTATTTGGGTGAGATTACAAGTTTTGGGTAAAATCTAAAAGCACTATACTAAAATGTTTTTTAATTATTTGATTTTGTCACCAGTGTTTTCAGTCCAGCCACGTTGGCGGCCGCTTGAAGTTGAAGGTGGTTGGTGGCAATACTGAGACTTGTGAACGGTTTTTTTTTTTTAAAGGGTATTTTAATCATTTCAAAATATCCATTTATATGCCAAATGTATTCTTAAATTTTAATTTTGCTTTCATTTTCACCTATAATTTTTACCTTTACCTTCATCAAAAACACTTCTCTGTACAAACGAGGCCTACATTTTGATGTGGTGCGGGGGCAGCTAGTGGAAGTGAAGGGGGATAACCGGATAAGACGGCTTTTGAGTTTTGAAGGATGTTCATTGTTCTCAGGCGATACCCTGCAAGCAAAGCACGAGCATATATGAGGTCGTTGGGTCCCACGATTCTGAGTGATAAAATATTTTAGCAATTTATCAGGCATTTCTTTAAAGGGAGGCCGCTCCTCAATGCTTAAATGGTCGGTGGGCCCATTGCTCCACATTTCTTGACTCTGTCATCCAATTGTCATCATAGAATTAATAATTAATATTTCATATTTGATATAACCCCCAGTCTCAAAAGTAACTACATGAGTGATTTTTTTTCTTAACTCTTAATTTGGGTAGAGACAAGATAGGAAGAAAAAAATTAGGATTTTTTTTTTCTCAAAATTTCCTCTACTAGTTTCTCTCATTCATATTTTTTCCTTACTTTCTTCTATCAATGCAAACCCCTCATTCAAGTTATGGAATTTCACAAATGCCCCTACTTATTATTATATGCTTATTTTGAGAATCAACGTCAACGAGTAAAAAGATAGAAATATTACTTATCAAGGGCAAACATAAAAAAAAAAATCAATTTGGAACCAAAAATAATTTAACAAAAATTTCATAAGGTAGATTGTTAGGACTTATATTTCAGATCGGATGTAATACACAACATATAATCATATTATTTAAAAGTTATAAACGACATAGATTATCCAATAATTTTTATAAATTTTGAAAAAAAATATTAAAAACAATCAATTAAAGAAGGGAAGATTACGTGTAGGTCCTGTGGAGCAGATTTATCTACACATAAGTTTCACAAAATTCAGAAATCATAACTAAATTTCTTAAAACTTGAGGGTAATTTGAAATTAGAGTCAAAAGATAATAATGTCCTTGTTTAAAATATATTACATTAATTAAATAATTTACAATTACTTCATCACTAATTCACAACCATCACTTCAACTTTTTATAACAATAATTTTACATATATAATAATTAAACCGATTATGCATCATTAAAAAGTTTAACACTAATTGTTTATAGTTACTTTATTAGTAATTTATAATTATTACTCTAACATTTTATAAGTGTAACTTCATATATCTAATAGTTAAACTGATTATTCATTACTAACAAAATTTAACACTAATTATTTATAATGACTTCATTACTAATTTACAACTATCGCTTTAACTTTTTATAAGTGTATCTTCACATATCCAATATTTAAAATGTTTGAAATATTTAATATAAAAAGTTAAAATTATATTTGTAAAAAGTTGAATTGATAGTTCTAAATTATTGATGAAGTAGATGTAAATATTTTTATTTATGTAATATATTTTTAATAGAGATATTATTATTTCTTAACCTCAATTTTAAATTACATTCAAGTTCTAAGAGACTTGATTGTTATTTCTAAATTTCGCTAAATTTATTTATAAATAAGTCTACTTCACGAAATTTATATGCTCTTTTTCCATTATAGGATACTCTTGGTAGCTCCAAAAAAAGGTATAGCTTTATAATTTATTTTTTTATTATTTAAAACTATTAAAATAGAATTTTCACGTGTCTATTGGATCTTATTCAAAATTAGAAGACTCCGAATAGAAGATATTTTTTCTCAAAAAGTAAATTTTTAGTTTTGACTGCTACAATAAAAAATGTATTAAAAGAACTTCTACTTCAGGTTTCATAAAAATATCAAACAACAGTTTTTTTTTTTTACAGAAAAGATATGTTCATAAATAATTTAGAGTGTTTTGCCAACATAATTGATTTAGAGTTTGATCATGTTATCATTATTTGATTACTGCTAACATGCACTGAAAATTGCAATCTTTTTTCAAATGGTATGAATATTGATTATTAAATTTCATTTATGAAGAGGGTATAGACTACAGAGCGAAGGAAGGAAAAAAGTAAGCAGATTTTAGGTAGAATTTTTATTTTTTTAAAAAAATATTACGGGAAGTTAGCAACGCTACGTTACTAGGGTTCGGCACGGCTAAATTTAATGCAAGTGGGCATCTTTGGTGAAGTGATCAGTTTTTTTTTTTTTTTTTTTTATAATTACTTTATCATAAATCACATTATTAAGTCTCTTCCTTTCATGTGTTTGATATATATTCTCCTTCTAGACCCTCAAACAATTTCTTTATCAAATACATGATGATAAATATAAGATTAAATTTAGAAAGAAGAGAGAGAGGGAGAGGGAGAGGGAGAGAGAGAGAGTGTGTGTAACTAGCTTCCCATCAGAAACAGCCAAATTTATATTCCTCGTCCCTAATTTCAAAAAGGATGCATGAAAATTACTCTTTTCAATCAACAAAATTTTAATTCAGTATAACTAATTCTGTATAGTTTGACTTGTTTATAATGCAACATGATACAACTTGATTTTAATAATTTTAACTGGTGTTTTAAAAACTAAATCAGATGATTTAATCGATTAGATCATCAATTCGATGGCATGATGGCTTGATTTTTTTAAAAAAAATTGTCTGAAAAGTTGAATTGACTAACTTTGGCTTTTAAAACATTGATTTTAACTATTTTTAAATTTTGTACTCCTATACTCCTTCTGAGTCACAATATAATACATCTTTTAAAAATTTTTCTTGATTCAAAATATAAGACATTAGATAATTTTTATATTTATTTTTTCAACTATACCCTTACTTTATTTCTTACTTTTTTTAAAAAAATTATGTATTAAAATTTTAATTATTGTTATCAAAACTCTTATATAAAATATTTAATGAGAGTATAAATAAAAAGATGTCGACATTTTTAAAAATTTAAAATTTTAATTAAAATTATTTATAAATTATAAATTAATCAACTAGCACTTATATTGTAGTTCGGATATATAATTAATAGTCAAGATGTTAAGCCTTTTCATGAGCGAAATGTAATTAATGTTTTGGCAAAAATAAATTGCAATTAAGGTTACGGCAACCAACGCTTTTTACTGGAGCTAGCCCAATGAGACATCCTCAAGTGGTCCAAGAACAACCTTGATGTTGGAGTTGCCTGTATATTGTCGTCTCACTTTTTTTAAACAAAAAATTTAAAGTATATATTTCTTTTCTCAAATGCATGAAATAAAGAAATAGTGATTCAAAAGTTTTTGAAAGACTACATACTCGTTTTTGGAATATACTTGATGTTACGATTGCTTACGATATTTACTTTGAAATTTTCATATTATTGACAAAAATCAAATAAAAAGCCAAGAGTAGAAATCTTAACATTCCATCTGCTTCTTAATATTCTACATTTTTCTTTCTTTTTCTTGAAAATGCAGCTCAGAATAAGCCAATAATCTTCTTTCCATAAAAATAAAATAAAATAATGCAATTTATTTTTAAAACCATGCAGCATACAAGGCTACACTAACTTTGCAAAATATTTAATTTTAGGAGTTTTGGCTCCTCTCTCTCTTCTATGAGTTTTGGTATCAAGTCTTTGATCCAAACTAATCTAGTTGAAAATTGAAAACAGCTCTTTTGGAGACATATCTATCACTAAAAATTAAATCACTGCATACTCATGACTTGAATCCGAAATCATTAGTTAAGTTGAACCAATACTTTTATTGGTTGATCCAAGTGGTAGAAGGTTATCCTTGTTAGAGAGTATTATGCTTGTTGCCCATCCCATCTATTATCATAAAATTTAATTTAACTTTTTAAAGTGAATCTAAAATCAAAAGTTAACTTATAGAAAAAAAAAAAGAGAAACTGTGTCAATATTGAGAATTATTTCATCTTACCAGAATTCTTTTTACAGGAGCAATCCGAAAACAATAATAAGGAAATTTAGATGAGAAGCACTTGGTTGTCCCGAAGAGGATGCGAGAATCCAGGCAAGCAGAATCAATCTCAAGCTAGAAAAAGTGAAACATTACCTGGCCGACATCGTTACACGGGCAAAGGGAAATTGTGGGTTTGAATTGCAATTTTACAAGTCTAATCTAATATCACATCTTAATATATATAGTAAAGCTTCTTTTCTTATGTATTCCAAGCAAATCAAAAGTCCACCCTTTTCATGAAAAATTCACCAGCCTTTTTCTCTCTACATCCATAACCAACCTGTCTTGTTCGTTAGTTGATTTTGATCAAGTTGATGAAGTTATCCGAAATAAGGTTTAATGGTAAAAAAATTAGTTTGATCAGTTATGAAAAGAAAAAGAAAACCAAAAAGCGGCATAACAATAACAGTAACAGTCATCAAGTTTGGGGGTTGTCTTACAAATATGTTTTTTTTTTTTTTATGGTTGTACATTAGTGTCAACTAAAAATTCTATCATCAAATATTCCCTCAAAAAATATAAGGTATTTTTAAAAATAAAATATTAAAAAATATAAGGTCTTTTTGACATCTCAAAGTGCAATACTGCAATTGATGAGTTTTTCCCCTAAAAATACCCTTAATTAATGATGTAATAATTACTATGTTTTTTAATTAAGATATCTTATTGGATAAAGATAAATATTGAGAGGTGTAATTTAATTAAAAATATTTTATAATATTGAACAAAGGGAGCATGTTTCAGCACAGTAAACGCAAAGTAAAAAAAATTACTGCTTCCTGCTTTTATTATAAGACCTTTAATATTAGATGCTTCATCTAAAGCAATAATATTTTGACCTAATATTCACTACTAACTATAAAATTTCTCACGAAAATATATTATTTTCGTCTCGACGCTTTAATTGAGTTTTGATATATATTTCTACACTTTTTTTATATTCTATATTTTTATATTTTTATCCATCTGAAATATTGGTCCTTACACTTTCAAAAGGATATTAACATAGCACAAATGGTATTAATAATGCTAATATATCAATAAATACCACTAATTTGGTGCTCACATGTCAAATTAATATTAACATGAATTTTTAATAAGAAAAAATTAAAAAAACTCTCATATTAGATGAAATAAAAAGGCTGACATAAACTCTTTAAATATTCATCATCATTTACTATCTCTAGTGTCATCCAGCAGTCTTCTTGTCATCATGGGGTTGTAGGGTCGTGATGTTGATCATTTAAAAAGTTTAAGTCAATTTTTTTATTTAATTTGATATAGGTTTTTTTTGCTTTAAAAAAATCTATAATAGTAACAATTTGACACGTAAATACAAAATTAATGGCATTAGTTGACATATCAATATTATTAATACTGTTTGTACTACATCAACATTCATCTAAAACTGTAAGGACCAAATGGAGAAAAGTGTAAAGATTTGAAATATTGGGGGAAAAAAGTATAGGGACTTATATTAAAATTCATGTAAAGTGTAGGGATCAAAAGTAATATTTTTTTAATTTCTTAACTAATTAAACATATTTTCTAACTAATGACTTTTATTGAAGATAATTTTGAGACTCTACAAGAAATAACTAATTTTATTAATTTACTTAAAATTATCAATGGATGTTTCATGGAAAAGATGGAAGAATGTAAACAATGTCCTGTTATGACAGTTGTGTCCACTGTCAGTGTGTAATTATTTTTTCACTCTTATAAGAAGTAAGCCCTATCAATAAAAAAAAAAAAGAATATTTCCTCTAAGATATTGGAAACAATGAATGTATTGTATATCTCCTAACCATATCATTACATATAGAAAAGCTGGGGTTCAAATCTTCTAACTTGTGTGTGTGGGGTACTCAACAATTAACCGATCGTGCAGATGTATAACTAAAACAAGCTCAACCCAGGAAATGATGTTTTGTATTATCACTATGCTAATAAACATGCAATTAGTACTATCATTGTCAGCTGAATACATCAATCAGCATGATGTACTTAATTTGGTTACAAACAACGGGTCAGGAATGGGCTTGGAATTGTCAAGAGGAATCACAAAGGCCCAAAACAAATTCGATCATAAACTGGCCCATCTAGAAGGCTCGAGAGGGAGACAGATGATGGGGCCAGTGGACGTAGCGGAGAAAATACCGACCATCCAATTCGGTAGTAAAAGACACGTGTTAACAGGACAAATACTCAAGAAGTCTGGAGTTCAAATGTTCGGTGCCTTAAAAGAGAGAGAGGGCGGGCATTTCGCGCGTGACACGGGAGGATGGCCACCGGTTGCAGGAAATGTGGCTGCTTCTGGCATCCCCCCTTGGCCTCTTCCATGCAACCGCACATTTGGCCTAACTTCCTCCTTCCTCCTCTTCTTCTTCACTCCCAACGAACAAAGTTTAAAGCGGTCACAGCACGTGAGAGAAGTGTGACCAATACATGTGATAGGACGAGAATGCCCCCCGCACTTCATTCATTTCCAGCTTGTACGGCATTTATGTGGCCGACCCAACTTGGACCGCCTCGTTATTCGGTGTTCATTAGCTTGAATTTGTGGTTTTCCACATTTAATTTGTCTTGGCTTGTATTGGTTGGTTTCCTGTTAGCATTGATTCGAAAGCTGCCAAATTCAAAGCGGCCATGACCACCAAATTGCCAAAATAACTAAGTATACGACTATAGAATTCATTAACTTTTCGGTTAATAAAAGCGAAAGATCGCCTCTCAATAAAACCACACCAATTGTTTTGGGTTCTTTTCATCGATTATAGTTTATAAAACAACTTTGTATTTTTTTTTAATTTTTTTTACTTCTATTTATAAATTATTTTTAACATATTTTATCAAAATTTAAAAAATTTATATTTTATTAATTTGGTTTAAAATTTTAATAAATTTATTACTTTAACCCTATATATATATATATATATATATAATATTGAAGTGAAAAAGTATAAATAGACATAAAAATAATTAAGATGCCCGTAAATAAGTAACAAAAACAAATGCTTTTTCTGTCATATAAATACGATTAAAAAAATAATCCCTTCTTTTAACTATATCAATATTCCATACTCACTTTAATTATATCGCATACAAATTTCCTCAGACATAAATTTGATTTTTTTTGCAACTTAATTAACCAAAATTCAGCAATTTATCACATTCAATCAATTAATATTAGGGTTAACTCCATCAACATATCCTGTCCATTTTGTTTTATTTATATAGACTTCCCTTTTATTAAAATAAAATAATATTTCCGTATTTGCATGCTTATTTTTTTAATAAAAACTAAATAAGTACTCTTGCCATTCAAAGATGTAAAGAACTTTTTGAGAAGATGAATTTTAAAAAATATGAGAAATTTTTAATATTTTAAAATATAATTATTACATTTTTTAAGTATTCATAATAAAAAATCACTTTATATATGTTTTAGAGTAAATTGTCATATTCAATAAAAAACATAAAAAATGATGTTAATTTTTAAAAAACCATTTCATGCAGGGATGAAGTTTAGTTAATAATATTTTGTATTTTTTAATTGAGGGAATATATTATTAATAAAACCACATACACAAGTTTTGGAGGTGGGCAAGCAAGAGGGTATTTTGGTCATGGCATTATTTGAAGTAGGCAAGCCTCAACATCCACGTGAGCAGATTCTGCAATGCCTACTTCTCTCTGATTCATTCATGCTCTTTCGTTCTCCGTCTCTCCTCTCCACCCTGTGAGGTTCTATTAGATCTAGAAAATATCTCGGGTGTTCGAGAGAGAGAGAGAGACGTGCGTTCAAACAAGTGCTTTTACATGTATGTATGTATATATATGTATATTGTACCGACAATCTCACAGATCGAACCAATCGTTGCGGTATGTGTGAGTGTGAGAGAGCGAGAGGGAGAGGGAGAGGAATCATCACTGGTTTGAATTAATACTCGAGATTCCTGAGTGGCTGCCATTGTTGGAGCTTGATCGCAGTGAGGTTTCTGCCAAATCTTCTTCGGAAAATAGTGGATGATTTGCTGGATCCATCCTGCATTTTCTCGATCGCCTCTATATGTCAAGGTAAGTTCATCAATTTCTTCTTCATTACTTTCCACAAGCTCCTCCTTATTCTCTGTGTAGACTGGAACTGTGGTTTTCAGTTACGTTCTTAGTAGCATGGATTATGTGCTAAGCTTTCAATCGGATTTGTCCCCCCATCTCTTTCACTTTCTTTGATCTTCGTCTCTTTACTTTCTCTGTATGTTTTGTGTATCCTTCTTTTGACTTCTTCTTTTCTAGAAATATAAACGACCAGACTCGTGACATTGAACAACTGTCAATCTATTTTCGGAATACTAAAATTAATAGTTTCAAATGATCACTTGCAACTTGATGCATTTCTGGAATCTAGTCACGTTCTTCCTTTTTCCAAATCAAACATCATTCTTAAATTCCAAATTTAACCTTGGCAGTATTGGCTCTAATACTTGGACATGTAAAATAAAAGAGATTAATGGAATAGATAATTTCATTACAAGTATTCCTGGTACACTTGAATACAAGTAATTGTAAAGATATTAGAAAAAATGAATAAAGTAAGTGTGATAGCATATCTAATCTTTTTTTCTGCAACAAAAAATTTTTCCATTCTGGATAATAATAAAATAATTCAAATTTCGATCGATAATGTATCTCGGAATAATTAAGAAGTATTTATTATTTTTTAATCAATTATGAGTGATCGTATGCCAGATCATAACTTTTATTAAACAAAACAATGATAAATTTAAAAAGTATACGCAGTCTTTCACATATTGATTACTAAAGTATATATGGGTGAATCACATACATAAGTTTCACCTAACACAATTAATTACTCTCAATAGTTGTCATTTTTATAAATTCAATTCTCAATAAATTTGAGAGTAATTAATTGTATTGGGTAAAGTAATTCTTCCTTAAACTATAGATGTCTCTATAAGCATACAGGTTATATTATTTATGATTTATAAATAGTATGACTTATTATCAATTGTACATTGACATTTGTTAATAAAATTTCAAATAAAATATAAATGACTTCTATGATCTTTCATAATTAATTGTATACTTGCTCAATTAAATGATGCAATTTCTATTGTTATTGAAGAAATATATCCTAAGCGTATTTCAGTTAATAACTTAGGAATGTATGAAAATTGTATCATGATAAAACATTTGAAAATATTTGAGTTCGAACAAATTCTTCATTTATTCATTCAAAGTTTTACTTCAGACATGCATGGTTGTTTAGTCTCTAAAATTTTGCTATGTTGTATTAAATTACGTTCCTTCAAATTGGTCAGAATTAAAAGATTTTAGGAAATCAAACATTTTTATTAAGGTATTGATAGTTAACGACACTTTTAAAATTTAAAATTTTAAGATAAAGTATTATTGTCAATTGTGTCAAAATAATTTTTATTTCCTTTTTTCTAGTTGAAACAGTAACTCCATCTCAGCCCACATAATAAGAGATTTCTCTTTCTGGAAAGAGTGAGGAGATTTTATACTTTATAAAAAATATAAAACAAAAAAATTAAAAAAATTATTAATTTATGAATATCAACTTCGTAAAACATTTGCTCTTGTAATTTCAAACACTATTCACTTCCGAGAAGTGAAGCATTTTGGAATTTTGAATGTTCTCAAGTTGAGATTCTTGCGATTACATTGTGCATGGGTTAGATCGGTATTAAGAGACTTGGAGACATTTACAAAATTTCAGGTTAAAAAAAGGAAAAAAATTCTTCTTCCTAAATTTCTGGCATATGCAGTGAAGTCAAACTGTCAGAGAATCATTCGAAGCCGCGAACCATAATTTAAGAAAATGTTAATACTTCTACTTCAACAAAGTTGGAAATTTCGGGCTAGCTATTTGTCTTTCGGTTTGAAGTCTTTTTTTTTTTTTTTAAATTTTTGGCAACAGAACAATTATTTTTCTTTAAGTTTTCTTCCTTCCTGCCTCGTCGGCTCTAACTTCTAAGCTTGAAATATTAAATATCATGCGACGATACCAAGAAAATAGCCCATGACAAGTCACAGCGTATCGGCCACTCTTCACAAATTTGGTGCCCTTCTGTTCATTTTCATGACCAATAGTGTTTACTTGCATCATTTTACCCCGCACGTGCGTTTTATTCATTAAATTTTTAAGAAATTATTATCACAATCTAGTTACAAATATTTCACAAAACACACTCTAGAAAAAAAAACGGAAATTTTTTTTAAAAGTCTACTATATTTTTTATTATTATTAATTCAATTATATCTATTTATTAATTTTTAAATGTAGCGATCGGGTAATTTATTCCCAAAATTAATTTATGTTAAATTATTTTATATTCTCATTATTTCAATGTATCACGCGCATCAATTGAAATGTTCAACTATTCATATATTTAAAAGTTCTAATAAAATTTACTTGTTAGATATTTCAATGAGTAGGAAAGATTATCTTTTTTTTTTAAGGAGAAATTTTCTTCCTACAACTAGCTAGGTGTAATAAAGAGATCCTATTTTTTAGTTCTCAGATCACTGGTGCCTGATGGAGTTCATATTCGGTCCTAGGAATTAACGTGAGAGAAAGAAAAAGAAGGGATATCACCCGCTGTGTCTTTCTCAATTACTGAATCTAATCCCTGTTAATCATGACAGGTATTGCAGATTCTGAAGCATGGACGACGTTTCCAAAGGAAAAGAAGATCCACAAGTTGAAACCTTCCATTGGAATTCAAAACATAACTCCACCATTTGATTCCTGCAGGTAGATTACCTAATTCATTTACCATCATCAAACAACAATAATATGTATACATACACATCCAGTTACATACTTTTATTCATTCCATAGGAACTGTGCGTGTTCTTGAAGTTACGTATATGACAGATGTTAAAAATATTCAGAATATATATATATATATATATATACATATATCCTAGAACTCAACGAGAATATATTTGTCTTGCCGTCTCAATATTCACTTAGTCTTTATTTAAGTTAGAAAGATTAATGGTTTCAATCGTCAAGATCTTCATGCCTCTCTTTGGAACATACATGCATGTATACAAAGCTCAAGTTTTACCATGTCTTGCTTTTGGCAGTGACAAACGCAACAAAAAACTTGACATAAAGAGTTGCGTATCTTCATGGGTAATTCCAACAAATCTAACTGCCCATTGATATTACCAAGAAACATACAACATACTACTTGATAACATTGTCTTGCAAAATTAGTCCTTCTTCATTAATTAACATTACCTCAGACTCTGTTTCAGTCTCTCATATTGATCATCGATCTCTTTGCTGGGTTGTGAAATTTTGACATAGAAACTGTAAGCAATGGCATATACTACGGTGAGCATCCCTTCATATTCTGCCGCAGCTTCTGCAACATTGATGGACATGGCCAAAGACCAGAATGGTCTCCGGCGATCAAGGTCCCACAAGGATCTGTATAGGCATTCCAAGATGCGAAGGTCTTACTCCGACAACCACCTATGCCATGCCGTCACCGGCGTCCAAGCCTCGGTGGTGGAGCCCAAGTTAAAGAGCAGTAGATCCATGGGGATCTTCCCATTTCAACTTTCGGGTTCGGTTCTTTCGAACTCACTTCGGTCCTTCTTATTTGATCCAGAAACAAGCAAGGACATGAATTTGATGGAGAAGGAGAAGGAGATTAGTATTGTAGAGGAAAGTAAGAGTGAAAGTGGTGTGGAAGATGATGTGAAGAGGGCTAATTGGGTAGAGAGGCTAATGGAAATCAAGAGGCATTGGAGGAACAGAACAGCGAAAGAGAATATGGATCCAGATAATGATGAATATGATGGTGATGATGATGACGGTGTTTGTATGGTGGATTACGAAGACGACGACGAAGTAGAAGAAGGGCAAGAAGAGGCGTACGGTCGTGAGTCTTTCTCCAAGTTTCTAGTGCGAGTTCCTTGGTCCGGTACCAAACTATACTCTCAGCTCGCTTTTCTCAGCAATATGGCTTATGTAATACCACAGATTAAGGTAATTAACTCATCAATCCTTTACACACAATCTAAGATCAAGGTAATTAAGCTCGTCAATCCTTTCCGCACAATCTAAATTCTCTAATCTCTATGCATGAGTGTAAAGCATGTAACTTGTGATGTATCATGCACCTTGTTTAAAAGTTTGCTCTACACTAGTTTCACATTAATTTTGTTTCTCTTTTTTCCATTCTTGAATGAAAATTGACGTAGATAGAATTCGAAGTTCAAGCAGAAGCCATAATTAAAACCATCAATTTGCTGTAGGCTAAGGACTTGAGGAGATACTATGGTCTTCAATTTTTAACGTCATCTTTAGAGAAAAAAGCAGAGGTGGCTAAGATTAGAACAAATCTTGACCAAGACTCTACCCAAGTACCTCCAGCTTCCTCATCATCAGTAGAATCCTCTCATGATAACTCAAAGAAGAGGCCTAAAATTCAGCCCTCTGCTGCGTACAAGATTGCAGCCTCAGCAGCGTTGTATGTCCAGTCAAGAGCCAAGGATCTTTTGTCTCTTGGCTCTATGTCACAGAAAAAGCTTGACAACGAGGATTCACGTGGCAGAGGAGATGTTGAAGTTGAAGATGCAGAAGAGGCCTCACGGGTTGCAGCTTGTGTCGCCGCGTCGACGATGACGGCTGTGGTTGCTGCCGGAGAGAGGGAGAAACAGGAAGCAGCAAATGACCTTCAGTCCCTTCATTCATCACCTTGTGAATGGTTCGTTTGCGATGATTTCAGCACTTACACTCGGTGCTTTGTAATCCAGGTAGCTTCTTAACTTGATTCATAATTAGATTAATTTGCAGTAACTTATTGGAAGTACATGCACATGTATATATAAGATATCAGCATCACACAAACATGTGAACACGTGCTAGAAATGAAACTCTTCATACTGTAAATTGCGATCTTGTCTATTTTTATAGAATCAGATGCTTAAAATGTGAGATTAATTTGGTTTTACTTGCAGGGATCGGATTCCTTGGCATCTTGGCAAGCAAACCTCTTCTTTGAGCCCACCAAATTTGAGGTGTATATAGAGTTGATTCATAATTTTCCGATGAGATACCTTCTTTTACTACAGATGATCAACGAGCAAGTGCCTTGCACCTTACATGTTTTTACTCATTTGCAGGACACAAACGTGCTTGTTCACAGGGGGATATACGAAGCTGCGAAGGGAATATACGAGCAGTTCATGCCAGAAATAATGGAGCATTTGAGAAAACATGGAGATCGCGCCAAGCTCCAATTCACTGGCCATTCCTTGGGAGGTAGTCTCTCTCTTCTGGTGCATCTGATGCTACTAACAAGGAAGGTCGTGAGCTCTTCGACTCTGAGACCAGTGGTCACCTTTGGCTCGCCATTTGTGTTCTGTGGAGGAAGAAAAATACTTGACGAGCTGGGGCTGGACGACAGCACTATTCATAGTGTCATGATGCACAGAGACATCGTTCCCAGAGCCTTCTCTTGTAATTACCCTAACCAGGTCGCTGTCCTCCTCAAGCGCTTGAACGGCTCCTTCAGATCCCATCCTTGTCTCTTGAAAAATGTAACCGCTATCTTCTTTTCATTATTTTCCTTCAGAAAGTTTTACATACCTATAGATTTTATTGTGACTTATAATGTGACCCACCATGTTTGTGCAGAAGCTACTGTACTCACCATTGGGCAAAATGTTCATTCTCCAACCAGACGAGAAGACATCTCCAGCACATCCATTGTTGCCTTCAGGTTGTGACTTGTACGCTCTCGACGACACCAGATTTGGTTACTCCGCGAAAGTTCTTGGGGCTTTCCTGAACCAGCCCCACCCTCTGCAAACCCTAAGTGATCCCACGGCCTATGGCTCCGAAGGCACCATCCTCAGAGACCATGACTCCAGCAACTACCTTAAAGCCCTCAACGCCGTCCTGCGCCGCCACACCAAGGTTAGGAGGCAGAGGATCGACCACCTCTGGCCTCTCCTCGCCTCACCTTCTCCTCACTCTTGGAGCCATGAACAAAGCATGCATAGCCATGGCTTGATCTCCAAAGAGATCATGACGGGGGCGTGAATATCTATATATACGTATCATTCATTCAAGAGCCTTTCTTTCTTGATGGCCTCACCTGTATATCATATGTGCGTGCGTACTTATGTATAATTTAGCATAAAAAGTTCATCAAACTTTGGTTGTAAGGGTGGTTGTTTTCGTGTATATTTACAGGTATGTAACTTGTATATTTGTCATGTATCTAGTACCTCATATTTGACAAACGTTGTGAATAAAACATCATTTAATTTCACTACGTGCATTAGAAATTTGTTATTTTAAGAAATAATATAATTATTAATTCTTACACTTTCAACATGTTTTGTTATTAGTTTTTGTATTTTTTTCATTGCTTTAAATCCTTTAAATTTTATTTGTGGTCACCGACAAAATTAAATTTATTAATGTATTTATAACTATTAATTCTAAGAAAAATGACTATTAACCTTTTTACACTCATTTGTCATAACTGTCATGTCCTTCTCTTTTTAAAACTTTTCATCTTTTACACATTTAAAGATTTTGATTTATTGTTTTGTTTTGTTTTTTAACATTCTACCTTTTTTTACACAACTTATTATAATTTTAATAAGCCAGCATAATAAGTAGTGAAATTTATGTACATGTTAGCCTCCCTTAAATCTTTCAAGTCATATTTAAAAATACAAAAATTAATGTTACAAACAAATACTCCCTCTATTATAAATTATAAGATATTTTTAGATAAAATTTTACATACCAATAAACCTCATTAAATATACTCAACAACCTTATCTTTCTAAAATAAAAATATAAACTTTTAAAAATACTCATTATTTAATATATTAAAAATAAAAAGGACATAAATTAATTATAGAGAGAGAAAGTATAATGTTAAAATTTGTTCATTTAATGAAACCTTAATCTATTCAAAATGTTTTATATTTTAGGATAAAAAAACTCTTTCAAAAGTGCCCTATAATTTGAGACGGAAGGAGTAAAACTTAAAGGATTTAAAACAACGTGATAAAAAAAATACAAGAACTAATAATAATAAAAACTAAAAGTACAAGGCTAATAATTATATTAGCCCATTTTTTTTATTATGTTCAAATATTTTTGGAAAAATAGAAATTAAGGATCACTGTAGGAAATTTATATCAGTTAAAGGTCAGTTGTTGTCAAAACTTAAATGACAAATGAACTCAAATAGACTATTGTTAATTTATAATAAGTTGTCAAAATTTAAATGCATATTTGTTGATAAAAGACTAACTCGACTAAGCAAATATCCATTTAAGTTTTGATATAAGTGATCCTTGACTGATGTATATTTTCTCCCGCAGTCTTTGATTGATATTCTTTCTCTCTCTTTTGTTTTTAAAATAATTGAATAGCTAGATATCTTTGATTTCTATGACTTCATATCAATTTATTTTTATAACTTTTTAAAATATAGATATTCAAAACAAGCTCCCACCTACGTTTATATTCGGTTATTCACTGTTGTTTAATTATGTACGGTGAAAACAGGTATGTGGCAGAGTGAAGCAAACACGATCTATTTTATCTGTTTTATTAAAGACATGCGTGGTGTTCTGCTCATTCTACGATACTAGTATTTCTTTATTTTGAAAATGGAGAACGATGCAGGTAGGTGACCGAATAATTAAAGGGCAGCACGCAGACTGCCATAAATTGTGCCGACGAACATGTCCAAAATGCTAATTTTATTTGTTGTTGTGTCATAATTTCATAGGATGATATTAATGTTAGGCATTGTGAGAATATTCAGCCTAAAACAATGACTATTATATGAATAAATTAATTTGTGAAGCTAAAGTTTGGCAATGGTATAATAATAGGACCAATGTGTTTACTTCAAACTTGATCATAAATACTTGGAAATTGAGTGCAAATTTTGTGATAAGAATCAGAAAATGATACCCTTTAACATAAAGCAATATTAGATTTTTGATTATATATATTATTCCATATAGTTAGGATGTTATAACTATTTTATTTTCTGTTATTATTTTATTCTTTGATTGATCTTGATAGATCTTTTTTTAATATAAATATATTTTATATTAGAATTAATAAAATAACTTATCTATTTTATAAATTGTATTATGTTACCAGAGCCATTTTGCTATTTTCCCTTTCTTGCTTTTGGAACCTCATGGCACCCAAACCCATCATTTCGCCCACCAGTACGACTACTTTGGAGGCTTCTATACCTACTGATGGGATTGCTCAGTCCTCATCCTCTTTTGCCTCTCTGCCGTTTATCTAGGATTAATATAATATGCTTCATGCTCTTCTACAAACCCCGACACCTTACCACTTCATCAACTCTTTCGGCACAAGTTAATCTTGTGATTAGCTCTCTTTCCACTCCTTCTCTCAATGCATCCTTAACACTAGGTATATCTCACTTGCTTTTTTCTAAATGCCTTTTGTCTGCCTAGATCATTTATCATTTCTTGAGTTAGTTTCTATTTCTCCCATTTCTCATTTCTGTTTAGTTACATAATGAATATGTTGTTCACACTCATCATTCTAGAACCATTTATCTTCTTTTTTTTATCTCACTAATGTTTTATTTATTTTTTAGATTGACTATCATTTGATTTTTGTTTCTAAACTCAGTTCTCACCTTAATTTTTTCTTAATCCTCAATACCACTCATTGTTTCATTTAAGTCCTGAACTCTTGGAGGACGATTGGTATAGCTAAGGTTCAAAATGGTCTTTACACCCTTCAAGATCATGCAAGTAGATTCTTACCTTCTTCAATTTCTCCTATTACTTTGCATTTTAAATGTGTACCTTCTTTAATTTATGGCATCTTAGGTTAGGACATACCTTCTCCGTTACTACTAGCATTATAGGTCAGAAATCACCTTTAATTACTCATAAACCTACATTAAATAAAAGTTGTGATGTTTGTCATTTTGCCAAATAAAGAAAATTACCATTTCTTATTAGTGTTTCTCATACTATTCATCTCTTGAACTTTTACATATTGATATATGGGATCCATTTAATATTGTAACATCTAGAAAAATTTAATCATGATTTATTAGCTTAATGAGCATGATTAGTGAATTAATAAAGTTTGTGACCAAAAGGGCCTAATTGATATAATTAATTGTGATTTCAAACCTAGAAGTGGGTCCAAATTGATGGCAAGCCACCTGGGTATGAAAATAGGAAGAAAAGGTAAAGAAATGTCCTCTATACCACATGCCAAAATGTTTGGTCAATTTGTCATAGCACACAGAGGTAGATTCAAAGACAATGGGCCTCTCTGTGCCATGCGCTGTAGAGAAGGCATCATGTGCCGCGGTGCACGACCAAAAATCTAATTTAACGAGTTCATCTTTAAGTGCAGAGAATAGAGAAAAGGAGGAGAGAAAACAAAGAGCATATCTGAAGCTCTGTTAAGACACGCACATTGGGAACTTTGAAGGCAATTTGAAACTTCCTAACACTTGAGGTAAGTGTGATAAGCTTCTTTCTTCCTTTCTCTCCTTCATTTATAGAGATTTGAGTTAAGGTTTAAGTATTAATGGTAATTTTCGATCCATAGAAGTTATAGGTCTGATTCTGTTGGATAAAATAGATATAACGGGTGTTATTTATGGTAGATAAATCGAATCTTGAAGACTTTATTAAAAGTTTGTTGGGTAGAGCCATTAATATCCAAAAATTACAATTAATATGGTTGTTGGAGGTGTTTGAGGCTCATTAATGATGGTTTAATGACTCAATAATAGTAATGTGAACTAATGAAACCAAGTAAATTATTAGTATGAATAGATAGTGATTTATAAGATTGATATAATAGATATGTGGAGGTTGATGTTGATAAATCCTTAAGAGTGGGATTATGATGAATCTTTGTTTTATGATTGTAGTGTGGCTTAATTTGGCACCATTTAAGCTTGTATGAAGCTTTAAAAGTTGGTATTGTGAGGGGTAAACTTTTGATCTCTTAAAAGTTTGAGGTAATCAGGAAAAATTTAATTTATACAGTTGAATATTAATTGATTAATTATTGAAATGAATTGATTTGAAATATGATTTATATTTCAAACCCTTGATGCAAATTTGGCATGCTTGATGATGTGACAATGTAAGAATGCTAGATGTGCTCATACACATGTGAATAATGATAAAGATTTGAGAATAATGTGTTATTATGATGTGTAGTGTGCAATGATCAAATAAGTGAGAATATGTGCATAAGTTGTGTTGATTTAATATTCAGTGTCAAGATATGCATAATTGTATTAAAATGGTATAAGTTTTAAGTTATACATAGCATGATCATTGGTAGGAGTTCACTTAGGGAGAGGAGTAGTTGATTTAAATTCACGTGATATTGGCAATGATCGTTGGAATTAGAAATTTACCTTGGCACCAACCATTAAAGTCAAGAGTTAGCCCTTATCTTATGGTTGATTTGAGACTGTATCACTTGTTCTATAAGGGACTCAAACCTAACTAGTCTCTACCAGTTTATGAGGAGGCTAGATTAAGGGTACGACACCCCATGGTTGTTAGTATTGGGTAAAATTGGATTACATAAGTAAGTGAGTTAACCCTGGCCCAGTAGCTCCTCACAAATAGAAGGTTAGGTTAGTCCATGAAGGACGTAGCTACGTGATAGCCGTCGGTTTTGTGTCGGAGGTAATATGAGGGTATAAGGTTGGCGTATGGTCATGTATATAAATCCAACCATATGATTGTTAGTATTGTGATCTAACATATGTTAAGAACACATGGTTAGTAGTATTGCAACCCCATATTGTGCACTGTGATTTAAAATGTATATGTGTGTTTTTAAGCCCGGCCATATAGTTGTTAATATTGTGAGTCATGGCTATGCTTACCTTATGTGCCATATTTTTATTATGTTTGCTTATTTGCATCTGTTTATAATTAATATGCAACTGTATAGATTAAGTCAAATTTGATTACTAAGTGGTTGTACTCACCTCTTAATTCTCAATATTTTCAGGGCCTAACTCATCAAATTTATTTCGGGGAAAACATTATAAGGCATAAGATTGTGGTGAAATCCTACTTCCATACCTCTCTACTCTATTTTTGTGTTAATATTGTATAATTGCCAACTAGATCACATGTTACTATTTCTATACTACTTGCATTATTATAGAGTATAACTTGTGTATTTTGTACCCCGGGTTAGTGATTTTTTAGTTGTAAACCCTTGAAAAGGGCTAAAATACTTGTGTAAGTAGGA